TTGTAGTGAAGAGGAGGATATGTCTTCTTCAAACAGGGAACACAAAAGAGAGAAGTACAAGATATTGGCTGGGTTTAAAGGCATGGGGACATTGGACTTTAGTAGATGGGTATTGTCAGCTTCTCCATTTGAGAGAGAGAGGCTACTTCAAGACTTTTTAGAAAGAGTTAAGTAACAATATCATATTCCTTGATGTAGATTTGGTTAATTGATTGTATAGAAGAAGCTTACAAGATCCACACATATGTATGTGTTCTTACTTCTTACATATCACAAGGCAAAACCAACTAAATTGTACATAGAACTGACTGGCTACTTTCTCCGTGCCTTGAATCTTGAAACTGGTCTTGATGATTGAGACACTGACGACTGTTTAAATATAAACAAACAAACAAAGAGGCAATAAGAATCATGTTTCCACCATTAGAGTGTTGTGTAGTTAGTGTGGTAGAAAAAGTACCTGCATTTGGCCTTGTGTGTTGGTTCCTAGATCATGAGTGTGCTCTACGATCGACCCAGTAAAAGCCTGCATGATTTGGATCAGACATTTAACGAGCTTAAAGGAAAGTCAGATTTACCCAAACAACGATACTACTAGTAAAAATGCTTGAGCAGAAGAGATATATAACCTTGCTAGAATCAAACTCGGGCTCCGGTTTCTGCATATGTGACTGCACCAAAAAAAAGTTCGCATGATGAATTGAGAGATGCTTTTAAAGGTTAAGTTTTTTTGTAGAAAGATGAGCATAATGCAAGGCAGTATTAGCTTGACTTCAAATGCAAAACTGATGTATTTGGTTTCCAAATACCTCAATCTTTTGTGGACCTACAACATCGATCTTTGCCTTTGCTCTGGAAACAGAGGAGGTTGCTGGTAAGTCTCCCCATGTAACAGTCTTTTTCTTGGGGATTTTGCCACGTGATTGATCTTCTGGTAATRAAAGAACATAGAGGTTCATCAGAGAATGGTTTTGAAGGAAAGATGATCCAATGTTGCATATAATTTGAAAATGAAGTCAACTTTTCTGACGTCTGAAATGCATTAGATTATAAAGCTAACCTTCGTTGAGCTTTTGCGGCTTGCGTCCGATACACTGCCATGATCCAATCACATGCAATATATGAGGAGCTGTAAGAAAGCTAATGACTGAAGATCACAATGAGAGAGATTTTTCTTACTTTCAACGGATCATCTAGATCTGTGTGTGGATGTTTCTCTGGTAACACTTCAACAACTTTGGCTCTGACTCTTGGCTGGATTAAAAGTAA